ACCCCACCCCCGTGCCTGTACCTGCCCCTCCCCCTTTAGCTTCTGCTTTGGCTTCAGTCCCCCCAGCTCCAGCCCAGCCTGGCCAGGAGCTGCTGTCACTTCAATACAGCTGCAGCAGAAGGTAGGGGCAGGGACAGTCAGGGATGAATTTAAGATGGCCTTCCACTAATTAAATTGTATACATGGATAATTATAACAAATTTATAGTTTTCCATGTATAGAATCTAAATTTTGGTGGGTCATCTTAAATTTGAAGTCATCTTGGATTCCAGTATATATGTTATATTTTGGTGTGTTTTTTACTTTTATTCTTTTATCAGTTAAATTTAGCTGACTTAGATTTCAAAAGAGAACTTCCCAATGACATAGCAGGCCATTCTGTTTAGAAAATGAAAAAATATATATTCAGATTTTTCTAGTTTTTCTCCGATTCTCATTGGATGGGAGCAAATCACAGTTTCAGCTGTTCACTGAATTTGATTCAAGTGTGCAACTTGTTTTAGCCTCTATAAAGCTTCATTTTTAACTTTTCAATCAGATAAACTGCTGATTGGGAAAACTTCAGTCAATTCTAATGATTTTTTGTTCTTCAGCACAGGAATTTGAAGGGGAGAGGAAGGTAAAATAATAGGGAAGGGGTGTTGTAAAAATAGTCAGAGGATGACTCCACCTTCTGTTAGTCTATAAAGGTGTATATCTACCCTGCCTTCTGCCTGCCTTCTGTTACTTACCATATTGAAATAACATTCTCTTATTAACCAAGTAGATTTTTTATTATTTTATATTTTACTACCTCTAACGTATGTATAAATACATATGTGTCAACTGAAATGTACAGTCCAGTAAACAGATGGTGTATTGATACTGGGCCATTTTTATATTCTTTTACTGAATATTTGAGTCATATTTTGATTTAGTTTTTTTCCATTTATTTATTGTGGAGTGGTTAACATTAGAAAAATGCTATGAGGAAAGGTGGAGATTGCTTATTAACCATATACAAGTTTAAAAGATATCATCAAAATGTGCAACAAGTAACTTCTCTTCTTGTTTTGTATAAGAACACCCCCCCCCCGACCCATATATATTAAGCATCTACTTTATTTACAATTCTTTCTAGAAACTCTGCATGTTTGATAGCTTTGGAACACTAGTGTTTGCAGTATTTATGGGAATATGGGGTAAGTCATTTTCAAGGTTTTCCTTTTTAACTGTGGTTTTTTCATCTCATTTTGGCCAAACCTACAGCATCAGCTAAAAATGTGGCTAAACTTTTACAACTACTTCAGTGTCCAGTGTTCAGCAGTTTCACTGTAGGGGATTCACTACCAGACCTATGCACGCCCCGTAATTCTTTCTAGCATCATTAGTAAGATAAAAAGGGTTTCTTTACAATTAAAGGGACAGATAGTAATGTTGTTTTTCAGTTTTCTTTCATTCTGTTAGACCTGGAGAAAACCAAAAAGAGATTAGAACTTCCAAGTGTTGATCCAGCAGGAACCACATGTTTAAGTGTGTCTGGCAAATGAACTGTTTTTCTCACAAAGAATCTTGGAAATGTCTATACCTACTAGCAGCCGTATGAGTGCAGCAGGCAATGGAAAAAAAGAGATGGTTATTATATCCTCCAGTAATTTTTTCCTTCCTTCTTCATTTAAGTAACTGATACGCTAAAAATACAGTAGTTATACTCTAGGGACATCTTAAGGCAGGCTAAATGTCTCTTTAATTAGGATATTTCCACTGACTTGAAGCCATTTGGTACTGGATTCAATGGACCAGGCAAAGCTTGTTTGCCCAGAAACTGTCTCATTTCACTGGATTGTCCATATTAGCAACAATGAATTGACTTTAACCGAACCCTCTTAGCCAGCGGACAAACTTATTAGTAGTTAAGAATAACAATGGCTTATACACTAGTAGAAGAGTTATGAAAGTGAGTTTTATGTTAGTGTTGCATGAAAAGCAGCTGATGGAAGACAATTTGAGTAACCTTTTTTAATAATATATGTAAACTGACAAGAAATTGACAAATTATGATAATGACAAATTATTTTATAGTAATTGTTTCTTTAAATGAATTGTTAAATTAAATATAATATTTTTTTCAAAAGAAGACTTTTTCAAAGATGTGCAAAATTCAGGATACCAGCAGGAAATTCCCTACATCAGACTTAGAGAATCTTGATGTTAATTTGGTCTTTTCATTGTTGTTGCAATAGCTTATGTGTAATTTGCATCTTAGTTAAAAATCATGATTTTCTGTTTTGTATTTTATTCCAGAAATTATAGTTTGAAATTTAAAAGCTCCACAGTTACAATAATGACTCCATCAGTCTATTAGTATTCATATCATAGATCCACTTTATACAGAGGTGAATGATAATTTGGTAGTTAAGTGAAAACTTTAGTGAATCCAAATGACCCCTGGTTCTGGTGCTCTTTAATTGTACTTGTCATTAAATTGTAAGACTCTGGTCTAAAATAACTTACAGAATGTTGCATTTTTAGATGTATTAAGTGTACTCCTGCCTTATGTTTCCTTCAAAGATCTCAAAGCACCATAAAATATAAATGAAAAGCTTCACAGTACTCTGTGTAGAGTAGCATATCTACATTACTTTGAGCACAGGGTTAAACTAGATGATCTCCGGAGGTACCTTCCAACCCTAATTTTCTATGACTATGATTACTAACCTTCTGCTATTGTAGCAGTGTCAATAGAATTCCCTCCTGGAGAGACAGTATATGCCATTAGGAGTTTGTTTTCTTACAGCATAGCTAAACCACTGCCCTGAACAACAGAAGCTCTGCCAACACAAAGTTTTCTTAGCTGGGGGATACAGGGATTTTCATATTTCCAGCCAACATAGCTATGCCAGTAGAACTTGTAGTATATAGCAACAGTAGGTTACAGTAAAGGACACATGCCTGAAGTAATATAGTAAGTCTGATGCAGAGACAGGATTGGAATTTCGATCTCAGAGTAATTTATTTTAACGATTAGAAAATGCCTGTTAAGAATAAAACATAGGCAATAGATGGGTCATAGCTCCAAAGCCTGAATGGCACAGAACAGCTGGAAAGATAAGGATAGGATAGGAAATTGATGATGACCTTTGCATAAGCCAGTGGTATTCAACCTTTTGGTCTTGCAGATGAAATGACTGGCACAGGGCCGGTCTGTGGACCAGATTGAGTACCTGCACACTGAGATTGGGCCTCAGGACCCCACACTGCGCCCTGTATGGCCCTGCACAACTCTGCAGCATACAGGAGTCTAGCCTACAGAGTTCCTCACGGCCAGGATGATTTGTCTCCCAGGGCCAGATTTGGCCTGAGGCCAGGGGTTGAGCACCCTGAGCACAAGCAGATCTCCCAGTGATACACAGCGTATCCTATGACCCGGAACCTTCCCTGACTGCTAGCACTGGGATAGTGGCAGGGCGAAGGGCATAACTAGGATGGATCTAGGCTTCAGTATTCCCCATCTAGCTAGTTCTTGAGGGCCTTTTTCAGCTGATGCAAATCATAGCTGCCTGTATACTCCTTTAGTTTATCCTGGGAACCAAACCCAGTAGAAAGATACTGCAGGAGATTGTTTCCTTTGGTGCACTGGAAAGGATAGAAAGACACCTTCTATACCTTTTCTCACCACCTGCTTGGCTATGAGTTGTCCTTGTGCTCGGCAGAGAGCAAAGGGACTGCTCCTGTGGGAGGTCTTTCATAGGTGGGGGAGGAACAACTCTCTTTTAGGCCTATGTATTGGTGCAAGGACCATACTCAGTCTAATCCATAGAGCTTTCTACTTAGTGCATGCTTGATTTCAGTGTACTCACTGTAACTAATTTTGGAAAACCTGGTGCAGACATGTACTGAGTAAGTGTATACGGTAATAACAGATGTTAGTCCTTTCCCTGTGGCAAATTGCTAAGGTATTCTTTTTAAAACATCATTTTTCTTTGATTAACCAAAAAACTCCTTTTCCTTTGCATCCCATAATAAGTTTTTTTCAAAAAAATCCCACAATGTAAAATCCAAGTTGCTCATATTCTCTACATATTCATGAAAGAAAATAAACTTCCATGCATCTTCAGCAGGTGCTTATACACCATTCATGCACAGGTTTATGTCATAATAGTACCTACATAATCAAAGCAGTAATTTAGTAAAGAAAAAGATCCTGTTATTTTCTCCCTTGTAAAGACTTGGCAGCATCCCACTAGCCAGTAAAGATTTTATTCCATGTCTGCAGAAAGCAATATAGGAAATTAATGATCCACATATTACAGCCCAAGAGGTCAAAACAGCATACAGTGCACATGTGATATAGCTCTAGTTGTTTGTTGTTTGGTTAGTTACTTTGTTTCTGGAGTTTTGGAAACGTCGGCAGGCTGAACTGGAATATGAATGGGACACTGTTGAGTTCCTAGAGCAGGAAGAACAAATACGGCCAGAATATGAAGCACAATGCACTCACAGAGTAATGAATGAAATTACACAGGTAAGGAATATTTTTACAATTAAGCATAGCAAAAACTATCACAAAGCTAGAAATTTAAGGAAGAGCCTCAGAAAATGATAAGCCAGATGTTCAGTTGGTAGAAATCAGAATTACTTCAGCAAAGTCAGTGAGTTGAAGATCTGCTCTGGTGGCTTGATTTACCAAATAGTATTGCACAACACTGGACGTATCTACACATGCATTTACACCAATTTACTGTGCAGTAGGTAGGAAAAGGCCAGTGTCTACACATGTAGGCATTAAAGCACATTAACCCTGTATGTGGACTGACTTGGGACTAAACTTAGTCCCAAGTCAGTCCACACACACAGTGTTACTGCGCAGTAAGGCATCTACATGTGTTACTGAGCAGTAACTAATCAGGCATAAATTTGATACCTGCATGATGCAGGTATCCAATTTACGCTCAAGTTAGCATAAGTGACCATATTTACTGCACAGTATGGGTGTGCACACATGCCCATACTGATCGGTAATTTCGGTTACTGTGCAGTAAATGCACAAGTTTAGACACACCCACAATGTATCAGGTTAAAGTGGAAGGCCAGAAATCAAATTTACCATTACCAATGGCTGAGCTGATCATTGCAACCTTGGGGACTGACAGATTTCTGTAACCATGATATCATGTAAGTGGGATGATTTAGTAGTAGAGAGTTTCCTAAAAGCTAACAAGACTTCAGTAAAAAGCCCTGGTGCCACAGAATAGTGCTCCTACTCCAAGTTATCCATTGGGGTAGGATTTCTTGTTGCGAGAAGCCCACAGTGGTCACCAGTTTTCTCAGTTATTTGCCTATGGACATGTCAGGAAAACAAAATTGAATGAAGGATAAAAAATTGTATTTATATCCAAAGTTGTTTTTGGGTGAAAGCAGTACAAAAAGGTATTGTTGCCAAGCATATGTGGATGCTAATAAGAGAGGTAATGGTAAATTCACAGGAAGAAGATAATCCTCATTGCAGTGAAAACAGGATTCATATTTATGAGTATCTTAGTTTAGATATCTGCTTATTACATATTTTCAAGTTGCTCTAGCTTTAATGGATCATGCCAGATCAGGGTTAGTTTTGCATTTTTATTATTTTGTGTTAATACATCACCGCAGCATTTATTTGATTATTTGCATTTCTTTAATTTTCTATCCATATTACATTAATGTGTATAAATAAAGAACTCAAGGAATTCTGAAAATAGCCGCATACGGTAACAACCTGTCCTAAATGACTGACTCTTTTATGTCTTGTGCTATCTTTATTGCACAAGGATAATTCTTTTTGGGTATTTTAAAGTGTAAAGAGGGAATCCCCTGTGGTTCAGTGGTAGGATCCTTGTCTACCACACAGGAGACCTAGGCTCAGTTCTGAGACACTTACACATCTACAGCCATGGAGGCATCAAACATCTGGACTCAGTCTGGTCTTTGGATTCTGTCTTAGTGGCCTAAAGGGAGGATGGAAGGTCTGGGTAGCCTTCACTCTTCCAAAAAAATTCCTGCCAAGCATATGCATCGAAGGTCTGGGTGGCCCTCATGCACACACCATGATCCAGGAGGATCAATAGTTGCCACAAATTGTGAAGAATTTTCTAAAAGAAAATTTCTACTAAGTAGCACATTTCATTTGAGCATTTCAAGCATCTTCTAAAACATTGCTAAGTCTCATACTGCCGGAGTGAGGCTGGTTGAAGTCCAGATTTTCAATGTCCACTAATTTTCACTGAGAACTTCTAGATGCCAAACTTGAGGGGATTGGTTTTCAGATGGACTGAGCAACTGAGCAGTGGATTCTTGGATCCCTAGGTGTCTCAAGCTGACAGCCAAACCCAGTAGACATTTGTAGAGAACTTGGGCCTATTCAAACTGCCATGGTGACATAGCAAAAATCAGGTCTGGAAAGTGAAATTAAGTCCTTAGTCTTATTCTTCTGTTCTAAATACTGCAACATGACAAACAAATATATATACACACACACACATATATAAATATATATAAAAACACACATATATATACACACATACGTGTGTGTGTGTGTGTGTAGATATCTAACTATATAAATAGATGCTTATGTGTATGAGCAAAGGTATTATTAATCTACCTCTAAATTGACTTTCTTTATAGGAAGAAGAACGTGTTCCATACACAGCCTGCGGAAAGTGTGTCAGGATGACCTGCTGTACAAGTGCAGTCTTTTTCTGGGTAAAAATGCCATTGGTCTTTCATCTGACAAGCTTTATTGTTCAGCGCATTTAAAAAAAAAACAACCAGTGAACTAATACATGAACCTATGAAGTGACATAGTGGTCAGAATTTTCCAATACTGTATCAGTGCTGAAATTGCACCCATGAAGCATGTACATATGTGCACAAATGTTCATCAGTCAAAGATACTGTTACACAGGCAAAATAGATCATTGTGAATACAATTCCATACATATGCATAGCAAATGTTGTGGTTATCATTGGTCAGCTGGTTTGAAAATGCAGGTCTTTTGTTTCTTCTGTTATTATTTTCAGCTAAATGCTCTGCTGCTAGGTGGAGCAAAGAGACTGGTTTTAGGGACAGATTTGGTTGCACTTTCTTTCCTCCTTGCCAGTTTCTTTCATACTTGTTGTTCCAGCCCTTCATTTTAGTGCCACGTTGCAGACTACTGGGCCTCTTTCAGCTTTTTTGTTTCACTTAAAAGAGCAAAGCTGGGAGTGCTTTAATCTTCCTAATACTGCTCCTTAATTAAAACTAAAACTTGAAAGAATTCAGTCATCCATGAAACAATATGTAAGATGGCAAACAGGCCCAAAGCAGCCACTTTTAAAAGCTCCAGGTTTTAATATACTGTGGGTTCCTGTACCCAAGCACAGAGGCTGCTCTGATGCACTGTAATTACAGTGCGTTGGAGCAGATTCGATTAATCGAATCTGCTGGAGTGTGGTAATTATCGTGCTCCGGCAGCCTCCCATGTCTCATGTATCAGAGTCCTCACACTTCAAAATGGTGGCAGGGGCACTTGAACTAGTTTGAGGGCATTTGAACTAATCCCCACCACCATCTTGAAGTGCGGAGACACTGATACACGAGACACTGTGGCACTCTACTTACAGCGGCTCTTGGAGCCTCTCTAATTGAAGTGCTAGCCCCCTCATCCCTAGAGCACATGTAAAAATGCCCTGTGTGCTCCTAGAGCTGCAGCATAAACCATAATTAGAAATCATTACAAATACCAGGGACTAGTGCTGGGGCTCAAAGGTAATAAAGAGCACTGGCTGGCCAGCGCAAAAGAAGCTGTGCTCAATGTTCCCACAACTGGAGCAGAGTAGAAAGAACATTGGCTGGCTGCTGGCATTAAATGGGGTGGGCTCCAGATTGCCAGATCTTGGGACTTGTTTGTGGAATTTGCATTATTATTGTTTTATTATGTATATAATAGTGGTGGCCAGTGGGGGAGGTGAATGGGAGTACATGTCACTTTACAGAAATATAATAGGAGACACTCCTTGCTCCAAGCAACTTACAATCTAAACATCTTGATAGCCAACAATAAACATAGAAACAGAAGAAGTAGCAGAGGTCACAAAACTGAAGGGAGGCATAAACTAGGGGATCATAACACCAGAAGACTCTGGCAGATATTAGATTTATGGTGCAATTAAGGTGTTAAATGCATCATAAATAGTAAACCTGTTACATTTACCATATTATCTCACCATAAATTGGCATTAACATGTATGTGGATCCACATGTAATGTGGAATATTTTTGTGGTTCTTTCTATCACACATTAAATTGAATATATGGCATTTGGAGCTGATTCATGATAGATCCCAATGCTCACCTGAGCATCAGGATCTGGCATTGGGCAGCCCCAGAGTCTGAGATATAGCCATTCCCCGCCTAATCAGTGGGTTTGGGCTGGGTGGAGCCCAGGACCTGATGGGCCCTCTAATCCCCAGAGGCACATTTGCGGGCAGTGGCACTGTGAGGCTGCTCCAACACACTGTAATTACAGCATGTCAGAGCAGACTCGATTAAAATCGAGGCTGCTGTAGCATTTTAATTACCGCACTTCAGCAGACTCCAGCATCATGTGCATCAGTGTCCTCATGCTGAAAGATTGCAGCAGGGGTGCTTTAATTAGAGCACTGCCATTTTTCAGTGTGGGGGAGCTGATACACATGATGGTCCAGGTGATTTCATTACAGCAGCTCTCAGAGTCACTCTAAATGTAGTGCCCCCCTCCTGGAGCATGTGTATAAGCACTCTTAGAGACTAACTGATTCAGAGAGGCATGAGCTTTCATAGGGAAAAACCTACTTCAGGGAAAGAGGGAAAAATGCAGAGGGAAAGAGAACACCGACCAGGAAAGTATGGTTTCAATCAATGCATGTGACTTTGCTTAAAATTTGCCTGTTTCTCCTGGGTGTAGTTGCTTATTTTGGGTCACTAACAACAACAGTATCCACCTCTTCTACAGGGATTTTCATCCACTGTGCAGTCCTGCCAGTTATGCAGTGCTTTAAATAAATGGAGTAACAGGAAGAAAAGATTCCTTCCTAACTCCTGAAAATGACCATCATAAGATTTGATTGCCCTCCTCATTATCTTAGCTTGCATAGCTACAAACATTATTATTGGCTATAAAATAGTCCATACCTTTTTCTTGCAAGTGTGCTGCACAGTGACTTTTTTATGGATTCTAATTCATTGACCTTTATCTGCACTGAACAACCTTATGAGCTAGGGTAAAAGGAGAGTCCAATCCATTTCACTTTGCCCTGTGTAATGCATATTTCAAACTCACTGTTTTTCCCAACCCAAATTATTTAACTCAAATACATTTACTGTACTGTGTTTTCAGATTCTTTTGATTATTGCTTCTGTTATTGGAATCATCATCTACAGACTATCAGTTTTTCTTGTGTTTTCTTCAACACTTCCACGGCACATTAATGGAACAGAGGCAATCCAGAAGTACCTGACTCCACAGACAGCCACTTCAGTCACTGCTTCAATCATCAGCTTTATAATCATTATGATTCTGAACATCATCTACGAAAAAGTGGCAATCAAGATTACTGACTTTGGTAAGGTTATGTTGTAGCTAAGATAGAAACTTTGTCTAAGATAACAAGAAAAGACAACATTACTCTTATAATAAGAATCTCAATAAATACCAGCTGTACTATGCATTTTGGAATTTTCTCAACATAGCATGCAATGACTTCTAGAATTTTTCAAGTTCAACATTTCAGTGCTATCAAAGAAATAAGATGTTCAACATCTTGCATCAAAACTTCTTATATAGCCAGCATGAAAGATCAATTATTTACAGCGCAGTATTTGTGAAACAGACAAGGCAAAGAAGGTTACTATAATATCCAAGCTTTATGAAAACAGATCAGTAACGCATAACACATTCAATTAAATTAGCTTTTGTTTATAGAGAGAATAGCCTTTTTCTTGTAAATAGATATAATAAGGTCACCATTCCAAAGCTAGAAATTATTCTCATGCTATCGAATAAATAAACAGTCACAAACATTACCATTTGTTTCTGACCAGGCCTTCTGCATCAAAGTTGCTATTCTACTTATGTTTTCTTCAACAAATCTTTAGATGTGTAAAGTAGTGTGGTATTTCAATATTGTTTTATTTTCATCAGTTCAAAGTATAATGTTATATATTTAGTGTGCCAGGGTTTTTCTGTGAGCGATACTGAATTTTTGCTTAAAGAAAAAAAGACTAAGTGTCTAAGAATACTGTAACAGGGGGCCTTCTCGGGGCTGCTTTCCCAGTGGCCCGCCCACCTGTTTCTGGGCTAACCACCCGCATTCTCACCCGCCACGCCTTGTTGTTAATTATTTAATTGATGTTAATAAAGCGGGAGGCTGCCCATTTCTTGTCCCAATGCCAGGGGGCATTATCTGCAGCTCTGTTCCTCCCCTACATCGCAGCCCAAGCCTCGCAGATGGCATCCAGATGTTATCAATGTCACCGGCCCCGTATTGGGCCCCAGAATCCTAGTAGTTGCAGCCCACTTAGATCCCTCCATTCAGGCAGCCTATTCTGCCTTCATTCCCGGCTGCATAGCTCCCTGAGCTGCTTCCCCCTTACAGGTGTGGTCCCCCCGGCTCTACTGGCCCTGGCCCACCTCCAGGCCAGTCAGAACCCTAGGTGCGCAGCTCTTGGGCGTTCCTAATGGTGGGCCCCCGGCCCTTTGAGCCTTCCAGTCCTGGCCCCAGCTTGGACCAGTCAAGGGGAGTCCAGACAGGTGTAAGTCTATGGCCTGACTCTCTCTCTGGGGTCCACCTTCTAGACCCTACAAAGGGGGTAACCCACCCAGTTGTGGGGGGCTAGGGGTTAAGGCACCCCAACCCACCTTTCACCAGGGTGGTAATTGGCCTGGCATTTCCTGGGGGCTCCCGCACCACTGAGAGCCCCACCAGGCCACCCACTCCCAGCAGGGTGCAGTTTTAGGTCATGCCCGGGACCAGGAGCCTCCTATCCATCCCCTACAGCTCCTCCCTTACCTCCAGGTGATACCGGCAGCCCTGCAGCCAGGCGATGTTGTTGCCTGGCCTTCCAGCAGCAAAATGCCCTGTTTATATGGGCTGCCCTGAATCTAAAATGGCTGCCGTCATCAGGAACCTGCCAGTTGCTGTCTTCTAGCCCTTAAAGTGATAGGCACAAACAGTGCCCTGCCACAAATACGCTGTCTACTTTTTACAACAGATACAGTCTTAGAATTAGTATAATGACTACAGTATATTAAGAGGTACTAAACTACATAGATAATAATGATGTAATTGTATTCTGGCATGCAAGGCTCATGCAGATTTTTTGACTGAGGATCCAGAGTCATTCATGAGTTAACACTATTTTTTTTTAAACTACAGAACTCCCAAGGACACAGACTGATTATGAAAACAGCTTGACCACGAAGATGTTCTTATTCCAGTTTGTCAACTATTATTCTTCATGTTTCTACATTGCATTCTTTAAGGGCAAATTTGTAGGTTACCCTGGGGACCCAGTTTATTGGCTAGGAAAATACAGGAATGAGGAGGTAAGACTATACTACAACATCCTAATTATTAACAGTTAGAGGTATTAGCCAGGGAATGCCCAATGCACCTCAGAAACAGGGGTTCAAAATATAGCCTTGTCCCTTGCCCTTTTCTAGGCCAGCTGCATAGCATATCAGCATCCAGCACAATTTATAGTAGTTTGAAAGTTTCTTAAAAATCTTCTGACTGTCAACATTCCCTTATTATAGGGACTGCTCTAATAGCTGGGGTTTAGCAGAACATAACAAAGGTCCAGTCACTTGGATTCTGTCTCAGGGGCAGGCCAGCTATGTTGGCACTGGGGAGGAGGTGGCACAATGTCCTCAACCATCCACTGAGAACCCCCTCGTTTGGCAGTGATCTTCTTATGCTGACAGTGCAGCATGAGGAGGTTGCATAGCCTGGCACCTGCCTGCTTAGGCAAGTGTCAGATTTAGTCTATTTAGACAAAAGTCACAATTACTAGAAGGTATTAGCTCAGTTGTCCTGTTTTTAAAAATGGTTAAAATAATATTAATTGAAATAAAATTTGTACTTCGTTTTTTAAAAAGAACTCTTCACTTGTGCCCAAAGCATAACATGGCTTTGAGAATTTTTCATACCTCTCTAACTTTTAGTGTGATCCAGGTGGATGTCTCCTAGAACTTACCACTCAGCTTGCAGTAATAGTAGGGGGTAAATCAATCTGGAATAACGTACAAGAAGTGCTTCTCCCGTAAGTACAGTGTTAAGTATTTTTTTATCTAACTAATGAAACAGCTAAAATATTTGAAGGCAAAGAACTTCCTCTTGTTTGAAGTCAATTCGCATTTGCTATATTTTTCATTAAGAGTAGACTGAGGTGCCAAGAGTACAAGACCAACATTTCACGCTTTGCAGGCCTACCTTGACAATCTTGGGTTTGATTTTTTCAGAAGTCCTGTGCACCCACAGTTTCTAATGACTTGAGTTCAGTATGAGGGTATGTCCTGAATATCAGGCCCCACCTGTTCAAGTTGGGTGCCCATAATTCAGGTGATCGAGACTCAACCCTACTCTGAACATTTTGGCTAGTTTATTATTGCTTAATATTTAGGTGCATGGTTTATATCTCAGGCTTTCCATAGGATGTGTCACAGGGTGCCCTTACCTCCTGAACTCTAGCCAGAACAGCCTCTCAGCCTGACGTTTCCTCCTTCTTTGCTGCAGCAAACTGCAGCCCAGCTTATACTCCTGGGCCAAAATGGCTGTCCTCATCAGGCACCTGGCTGCTGCCTGTTTGCTGCTCTGAAAGTGGCCCTGCTACAATGTGCAATTTAAGAATCAGTTATCTACTTCTTTATTTTTAAGTATGTTTTTGTAGTTATAAATTTTAGAGGAGTTGATATTTACTGCTTCAATCTGACAGCCAAAAAATGTGATCCTAGTTGATTTTATGCCACTGGTTTTTCCAGTTCACTGAGCCAGTTATCTGTCCTTCAGATTATTTGTACATCTCTATTTCCACTTACACTTTATGACCACTTGCAGTCAGGAGTTGAGTCTTAGCTTCATGCCACTTCTAAGTCAGTAGTTAATGTTTCTTGGTATTGTTTGATCCTGAAGAACTAAATCAAGCCACATCTACCCTTTCTGTTACTTGCAACAATCATGTAACAGGTGTTATTAAGGCTTTAAGGCTTATCAGTCAGAAGGTTGACAGAAAAACAGAATCATGATGAATTAAATGCGTCTCCAGATGGAGACTCAGAAGAACATAGAAATAAATGAAGTATGCAGCAGGTTAGAGATGTATAAGGGACTTACTTATATTGTTTATTGAACAAAAACAGTGTGCTCAGGGCTGTGTAAGCTAAGTGACAAAAATCATACAATTTAAGTCAAACACAGATAATACAGATTGGAGACCACAGTGCTAGGCAAAAATCACAGGCAGAATAATTGAAATGTTTATATATGATTCAGTAAGTAGAGGATGGGAACACAACTGAGCTTGATACATATGGCTTTGTGGAAAACTCATCTAAATGGAATGCTGATGTCATTCTTTGAGAAGAGTAGAAGTTTAATGGAGAAAGATAAATGCATAGCTGTCATATATTTAGAATTGTATTAGGCACGTGGTTAGCATCTTGTGACATTCTGATAAAAAACTTAATACAGTGTCAACAGAATACACATTCAATGGGTTAAGGATTGGAAATGACACGTCTCAAAAATAGTTATCAGTAGGGTGGAGATTGTTTCTGCAGGGATTGTTATTAGACCTGACTCTAGTCAACATTTTCAACAACAATATGGAGTAAATATAAAATTTCCATTGATAAAATTTGCAGATGAGACAAAAATTGTTAGATAACTGTGAAGAGAGAAGAGTCATTCACTGATCTGAATCACTTGCTAAGCTGGGCCTATTTAAACAAAATACAGGCAAATATTCTGGAAGACATATGATAGCCAAACACAAGTTATGTATCTTATAACAAGGAATGCAGACCAAACATATAGAATTTGGAGTTGAAAAGCAATGAATCTGAAAAGGGCTGAAAAGCTAAAGGAGACTAGTAATTCAGCATGAGTTCTCAGAGCTGATGTGGCAGAAGGGCAAACCTGGTCTTCTGGTATATAAACAGGAGAATAGTGAGTCAGAGTGGAGGGGCAATTTATATGTTTACGTGATATTGGTGTGACCACTGCTACCCTGTTGCATATGGTAGCATGCATGTTCTGGTGTTGACATTTTAAAAGGGATAATGAAAAACTGGAGAGGCTACAGGTGAGAGTCATAAAAATAAATATGTCTTACAGTGAGAGACAAATATATCTTTTAAACACTTTAAATGGGGAAAGAGACTTACTCTTGGGGCTGTTCATCAGCTTGTACTAACTGTTGCACTTGCATGACTCTGTAGGGATACAAGTTTGCTAAACTGCTGTGATTTTGATCAAAGTTAAAGTTGCGTTGGTTTTGTTATGCTCGTAGAACTATGGAAGCGTGTAAGTGCAACACTGATATCATAACAGCATTGCATCAGTATTATTTGATGTCAATATAGTTATTACATCTGTTTATACCCTTAAAGAACTCAGTCTATTTACCTTATGAAAAAGAAGCCTGAAAGATGACTTGATTATGCAATATATATACCTTTAGAGAGAGTCCTCAGAGGGGACAGAGACACTTTTAATCTAGGAGAGAAAGGCATACCAAGAAACTAAAGCTGAAAATTAAAAAATAAGGGTGATTAACAATTGAAACAAACTACCAAGAGGAACGTTGGGCTCTGCATTTCTTGGAGAAATATAAGAGGAGAAGAACAGAAAGAAAAATGAGGAGAAAAGGACATACATATACACACCCATATATATATACACATACACACACACATATATATACATATATACACACACACACTAAAATCTGAGATGTAAGTAAAGGACATTTAGAAAGGGAGGAAGGAGGCCCTACATCTTGCCTCCACTGAAGTTAAATTCCACTTGTCAATGAATTGGGAATGAAAACTGCAGGTAAAAACGAGGGAAGGATGGAGAATATGAGATGAATGTCCTGTTTTACTTGTTTTGTTTTAGATTCAGTTTCAATGCAACTATTTTCCAGGATATGTTTAAGGAGTACCCATCATGATAAGGGATACATTAAAAGTTGCTTTGACTAAAAAGAAGAATGTTGAAAAAGCAGTACTTCCATACTGCGATAGGGGCATGCTCAAGGCCGGACCTCATGCCGGCCCGCCCACCTGTCTCTGAGCTAACCGCCTGCCTCACTCTCCTGCCATGCCTTGATGTTTCTTAATTAGTTCTAATTAGGTGGGAAGCTGCCCATTCTTGCCCCGATGCCAGGGGGCACTATCTGTGGCTCCGTTCCTCCCTTACACTGCAGCCCAAGCCTCACAGATGGCATCCACCAGTGGTCTGCACTTGGTCTTTCATAATACATACACACAAACATACAAGCAAACACATACTGGGCTCCAAGCCCTCAGCCCCCCCACTGGGGCTGTACACTGAGGTCTTCCACCCCTTGGGGCTCAGGTGGCCGCAGCCCTACCTGGCCCTAGAGTCTTACATCCCCACACTGTCCCCTCATTGGGGCTCCACACACTGCCCCATTCCCTGGGGCTTTGCACACTGCCCCTTCACTGGTCATTGGGGTCTGCTGCCCCGTCCAGCTTAGGTGGCCATAGCCCTGCCTGGCCCTTTGCCCTGGGGTATTACACCCTGTGAGGCTCAGGTGGCCATAGCCATGCCTGGCCCCTTCTCAGGGTCCCTGCAGCCACAAGACTCAAAGAGCCTGGGCGCTGCTCCAGGTCCCTCTGCTGACCTGAGCCCTGCTTCAGACTCCCATGAGCCTGGGCTCCCCTTGAACCTGTTGAACCCACCAGGGATGTGGGGGCTAGAGGTTATTGAGGCACCCCAACCCACCTTCCACCGGGGTGGTAACTGGCCTGGTATTTACTGGGGGCTCCCACACCACTGGGAGCCCCACCTGACCACCCACTCCCA